ACTAGGACAGCCTGCCCCTCCTCCCTCCCCTGTCACCGGTCTGTCCTGAGTGCCTAAGAGTCCTGGAAGAGAAAGTGTATCGTAAATATGTGTTGAGTGAAGGGACAAACCAAAATCGCCTTTTGTGCCCTCCTTAAAATTAAACACTGGGGAATGGAGCATAACACACATGGGAAAATGGCTTATGGGTGGAGTTTTCCTGTTATATGTAACTTGTTCCTCCTATCCAGCCTCATTTTTACAAAGAAGAAGATAGGCCTGGAGAACTTAGTTTGCCCAAAATCACACAATTTCTAAACACAGGACTTGATTCCAATTTTTGTGACTCTGAACCCCAGACTTAGTGTCATCAGGGCGAGGAGAGAAGTAAGAAAACACAGGGAAGGAAAATGCTTTAAAATTTATTCCTCTTTAGAGGTTAGAATGAAACTGAAGAAAGACCAGAGTGCCGCTTTACCTTCTCCCTAATACTGAGAGAAGAAAACGGTCTACGTCTCTTTGTGTGTGTATGTGTCTCTGTGTGTCTGTATTGCTGGGGTTTGAACCCGGCATAGTGAGCTATACTCTCAGACTTTTTTTTTTAAGAGAATAAAAAATAATAAAAAAATTAGAAACAATACAGAATTTCAAAAAACAAGATGACATGAATTCAACAATGGTTGTTATATTGTATATTGTTGTCTTCAACAGATTTTTTTTTTTTTTTTTGGTTACAGGAATCAAACTCAGGACCTTATACTTGACAGGCAGACACTTGTGCCACTGAGCTATATCCCCGGCCATATTTTGAGACAGGGTCTCACTAGGTTGCCCAGGCTGGGCTCAAACTTGCAGTTCTCCTGCCTCAGTTTACCAGAATGCTGGGATCACAGGTGTGCACCACCACACCCAGTCATTTCTTTGTTTTTAATTGGGTCAAGACAGAATCATCTATAAATTTTTTTCTTTTTGTGTTTTATTTGTAGTTCTTGTCAGTTGTATATACACGTAGAGTTTATGAAGATCCAATAGTTCTCTTAGGGTAAAAATCAAATGTTCTACCATGTCAACCATTTCCTGCTACCTAGAAGCAGCCAGTTTCGTTTAGCTGATTCTTACGATATTTGCCTCCTTGTGTCTAAGTAACAGGCTCATATTTCTCTCATTTTTCCATTTTAACCAGTGTGTGCTGATGCTCCACTGTAGCAGACAAGGATTAACCCCTCCCCACAAGTACAGTCTTTCTGTTTGTACATGCTCTTAGTATAACTTTTGTCAGATTAAAAATTAGAATTAGCCAGGTGTGGTGGCACACACCTCTAATCCCAGCACTTGGTAGGCTGAGGCAGGAGGATGCCCATGCATTCAATGCTAGCCTTAGCTACATAACTGAGACCCTCTCAAAACAAAAAATAAGTAGGCCGGGCATGGTGGCACACGCCTGTAATCCCAGCACTCGGGAGGCTGAGGCAGGAGGAGAGTTACAAATTCGAGACCAGTCTGGGCTACAAAGTGAGCTCAAGGCCAGCCTGAACTGCTTAGCGAGATCCTGTCTCAAACAGACCAGAAAAAAAAAAGTAAGCAAGAGAACCAGGCATGGTTGCACAAACCTGTAATCCCAGCACTCTGGGAGGCTAAAGCAGGAAGATTGAAAGTTCAAGCCTAGCTTGGGCAGTTTAGTGATTTATCAAGACTGTCTCAAAATGAAAAAATCTGGTGAGGCACGTGCCTGCAACCCCAGTATTCTGGAAAATGAGGCAGGAGAATCACAGCGCATCGAGGCCAGCCTGAACTATATAGCAAGACATCTCAAAAATAAATAAATAGGTAGCTCAGTGTGAAGGTTCTGGGTTCAATTTCCAGTACCACCAAAAAAGTTTAGCTTTTTTTGTGTATGTGTGAGTTTGGAGAAAGCAAATAAAATAGCCACATTCAGTCCATCTTTACCTGGAAGATTATACTCTCACTCTGTCTCTTTTCTTTTTTCTTTTTCTTTTTTTTTTTTTTTTTTTGATGGTCTTGCTATGTAGTGCAGGTTGGCTTTGAAGTAGCTTATGGAGGCCAGGCTGGCCTCAAACTTACAGTGATCCTCCTGCTTCAGCCTCTTGAGTGTTGGAATTATAGGCATGTACCAGCACGCCTGTCCTATAGCCTTTTAACAATAAGATCTCAGCTGGACACAATGGCACACACCTGTAATCCAAGCACTTGGAGGCTGAGGCAGGAGAATTGCTGGAAATTCAAGGCCATCCTAGGCTACATAGTGAATTTAAGGCACGCCTAGACTACACAGTAGGACCCTGTTTTGAGGGGAGGGGGTGGGTAGTAGTAATAAAGTCTGACTTCAAATGAATTAGATCTTTTTAAATTATTGAAAAATTTAAAATAAATACATACTGGTTACTTGTACCATATGTATAGTGATAAAGGAAGGTCTTATATTTTTTGGAAATGTCCTTAAAACAACTTGCAACTTGAGTCATTATTCATACGGACTTTTCCTTATCAGAAACGTAAAAGTAACTTTATTGTTTCTATCAACCAACAAATACTTATAGTAGCTATGTACTCATCCTACTATTTTAGACCGATAAAAATTAAAACTGTCATCAGTTCTGAATGTGTGTACTCCTAAGTAACGAACTTTAATTGCCATAGACCTGTCATTATATAGTTTGTTTTTCTTCAGTCCTGTTTTCCATGTGAGTAGAAAATAAGCAGACTTAACAACATAGAAGCTCTTACAGGAATCAACCCACATTTTATCTTCGTAGCCCAATCAACACAATACAGTGAAGCTGGGAGCCTTCCAGGCTCAGGAGAAAGAGCTGGTGTTTGACATTGACATGACGGACTATGATGATGTGAGGAGATGCTGCAGGTGAGGACTGCGCCTTGCTGTTAGGGTGGAAGGTGTCGGTGACAGTGAGTAACGATGACTCTGTTGCAGCTCTGCAGACATATGCTCCAAGTGCTGGACCCTCATGACAATGGCCATGCACATCATTGACCGGGCACTGAAGGGCAAGTATCATTAGTGGGGTCAAATGCAAGACTCTTCTCTAAATATTTGCCTCTGTTTTATAATCAAATCTCATGAACTTCTAACGTCTCCTTGAAACATTTGAAAGGAAGATAAAACACAAGAACAAAGCCGTACCCGCTGGCACATGTGCCTGTAATTCCAGCTCTCTGGGAGTTGAAGCAGGAAAATCATACATTGGGAGTTTAGATGGGCAACTTAGTGAGAACTTGTCTCAAAATAAAAATTTACAAAAGGGCTGGACATGTAATTCAGTTCAAAGTCTCTGGATTTAATCCCCCTTATCTCAAAAAGACAAATAAAATTATAGTGGAAACTTTAATGCAGCTGTTCAACAAACCATTGTAGCCAGGCATGGTGGTGCACATCTGTAATCCCAGCACTTGGGAGGCTGAGGCAGGAGGATCGTTGCGAGTTCGAAACCAGCCTGGGCTACAAAGTGAGCTCAAGGCCAGCCTGAACTGCATAACAAGACCCTGCCTCAAAAAGACAAAAAAAGAAGAAGAAGAAGAAGAAAAACAAAAAACAAATCATTGTATTCGCTCCCAATTCAGTCCTCTGTTGCTAACTGTGTTAAGTACAGTTCTAAATGAAAGAAGTGTAAAAGATAACAATAATTAGCTCAAATAAGTTATGCAGTCTAAGGAAACAAAAAATTGAGGATCACATTTATGTTAAATAATACACGCAGGGACCTGTGGGGTTGTAGAACCCCAGCAGTGCATATAAGAGTGGGCACAGCCAGGTGCGGTGGTAGTCATCTGTGAGTCCAGCACTCTAGGAGGCTGAGGCAAGAGGATCACAA